GTATATGATGTGAATTGTAGTGGGGTTGTGTGGATGGTTTGGGTATATGATGTGTGAGTGGTGTGTGTGTGTGTGTGATGGTGTGTGTGTGTGGTGGTGTATATGATGGTGATGTGGGTATGTGTGTGTGTGTGAGTGTGTGTGTGTATATGAGTGTGAATGTGAGTGTGTGTGTATATGAGTGTGAATGTGTGTGTATATGAGTGTGAGTGTGTGGGTGTGTGAGTGTGTTTGTATATGAGTGTGAGTATGTGTGTGGGGTGTTGTGTGTATATGAGTGTGAGTGTGTGAGTGTGTGTGTGAGTGTGTGTATATGAGTGTGAGTGTGTGAGTGTGGGTGTGTGTGAGTGTGTGTATATGAGTGTGAGTGTGTGTGAGTGTGTATATGAGTGTGAGTGTGTGAGTGTGTGTATATGAGTGTGAGTGTGTGTGTGAGTGTGTGTGTATATGAGTGTGAGTGTGTGTGTGTGAGTGTGTGTATATGAGTGTGAGTGTGTGAGTGTGGGTGTGTGTGAGAGTGTGTGTGTATATGAGTGTGAGTGTGTGAGTGTGGGTGTGTGTGAGTGTGTGTATATGAGTGTGAGTGTGTGAGTGTGTGTGTGTATATGAGTGTGAGTGTGTGAGTGTGGGTGTGTGAGTGTGTGTATATGAGTGTGAGTGTGTGAGTGTGTGTGAGTGTGTATATGAGTGTGAGTGTGTGAGTGTGTGTGTGAGTGTGTATATGAGTGTGAGTGTGTGAGTGTGTGTGTGAGTGTGTGTATATGAGTGTGAGTGTGTGAGTGTGTGTGTGTGTATGAGTGTGAGTGTGTGAGTGTGTGTGAGTGTGTATATGAGTGTGAGTGTGTGAGTGTGTGTATATGAGTGTGAGTGTGTGAGTGTGGGTGTGTGTGAGTGTGTGTGTGTATATGAGTGTGAGTGTGTGAGTGTGCTTGAGTGTGTGTATATGAGTGTGAGTGTGTGAGTGTGGGTGTGTGTGAGTGTGTGTGTGTATATGAGTGTGAGTGTGTGAGTGTGGGTGTGTGTGAGTGTGTGTGTATATGAGTGTGAGTGTGGGTGTGTGTGAGTGTGTGTGTGTATATGAGTGTGAGTGTGTGAGTGTGGGTGTGTGTGAGTGTGTGTGTATGTCGTGCTGGCAGATGGCCATTATCCAGTGTTCACTACGTATCCTGTCCTACTCTCAGCACTTAGCATTTGTTAATTTATTAACTTCTTTAGTCATGTAATAGTCCTACATGAAGGTACTATTGTTACTCCCATTTTACATTAGAGAAAACCGAGGCACAGAGAGTGTAAGTCAAACCAGCCAACCAACCACGCATGCCAGGGCAGCTCTGAGTTTCTGTCTCACACTTGCCAGTTAACGGCCGAGTCGCTCCATCTCTGAGCGTGGATTTCTGCGCTATCCCTCCTGCACATGATGGTCGTGGGGGTTCAGCGAGCCAACTGATGCCAGCACATCGCAGGTGCTCAGCGACTGGCTCGTTAATTTTTGGTGCAAAGGTCCAGCCCTGCGTAGGGGAGGAGGTCTTCCCACCCGGCCTGGGGAAGGGGTCCTGGGCTCAGGGCCGCTGTGGCTGTGCACGGCTGGGCAGGCGGGGGCTGGCGCACACGGGCAGTCACGGCAGATCTGCCTGGGCTGTGGCAAACGACCAGCAGAGGGCAGGGCAGGGTCT